TATATATATATATATATATATATATATATATATGTTCTTTAATAAGTGAACCACACTCAGGGTAGATTGCTGTTGGTTATTTGTGAGGTTTTATGCAGAGCTAAACATTAGTAAAAGGTCTCAATAGAAAGAAAAAAAAATCACCAACCCATAAACACATAGTCTATTATCACTGAAACTACCAGAAACTCTGGACATGACTTCCAGAGTGGACGCTTTGGGAACAGCAGCCATTGAGCCACTTCTTGCTAATGGGATCCATGCCAGGGTTTCATTTGTCATGAATTTGGCAGGCACCACACCCCTAGTCATCTATATAGCTTGAGAACAGAAGTTTCCACGTTGCCTGTAAGTCAGCTTTAACCAACTTGAATTCTCCTTAAAATATTTAACAGGCTCTCTCCTCTCCCCCAAACACCGTAACTGCTAAGCCTCCTTTCATCTTCCAATGATCAAACCTGTCTAAAATTTTTATGTAAGTTGAAATCATATGTCCTTTTGCATATTAGCAATGCATCCATCCCACAGAGGACAGCCCCTGCCAGAGTATGCAGGCACTCCAAGGAGTTGGGGTTTGAAAGTGGCATTATCCACAGTAAAAGTTAGTTTTTTCAAATAAGACCCTGTGAAGTTCTTCATTTTGCTGAAACCATGTGCTGGCTTAATGCCTTTCTACTCTGGTTAAGACCAAATGCTTCTCAAATGAATCTCTTAGAAGGGTCTCTAGTGGGCATTATATTCCTTCTTAGCAGTCTTCAGTTTGGGATTCATTAATTCATTCAGTTAATTGGTTAATGGTGAAAATAAGTACTCACATCTTTTGTCCCTAAATCAGGAGTTGCTGCTGCTGCTGTTCTATCCCATCATGACAGCCTGCTGTTACTCACAGCTGGCAGACACTGGAAACTGTGATGCCACGTCAGCCGCCCGGAACCTTTCTGCTTCAGCAGCAGTTTCCTGACGGAATGATTTAGTATGTAGCTCCAGAGGCTGGAAACATGATCTGACCACCATATTGAGAAGGTCTGCATAGAAGAGGACGCTACCTGAAATGACAGAAAGAAACCACACATACCCCCTCATGTCTGTGAATGAGAACTTCAAGGAGAACCTCTATATTATATTGCCTTTCTAAACAATCATGACAGCAGGTTAATAACTGAATAAAAAAAAAATCAGGTTTAGAAATTGAAAAAGTAAAACTTAGGGACTCGTAGCATTATGAATGTTAGTTCATTAAAAAATTTTTAGTTTGGAGTGGCAAAAAACTGAAAAGGTGAATGCTCATGAATAGGGAAATGATTACATAAAAAATTAGACATTTATGTTGTAAAACATTAGAATTTCTAATAACAAATTCAAATAAGTTAGAGTTATACCAGTTGACTTGAGGGGTTTCTATGACATTATTGAGTAAAAAAGTATATTATCCCATATGCCATTTTACAGGCATACATGTAATTATATAAGTTCATATATGAGTATTTATACACCTTTATAGATAAACGTATATAAAAGGTACATGCCTGGCAGTTAATATTTCCTTTGCTTGAGTGAGAGGGTGCCAAGGGCAATGGGTGGGGGTGGAAGTAACTTTTTTAAAAAGCTTTGCCATAAAACAGAGTTTATTACATCCCATTCCCGTAAAATTGTCTGTCTGTGAATAGTGTATGTGTTTAAAGAGAACTATGTGTAAATTTACAAAAGTGTTAATTAGATATCTTAAAGTGGTAGAATTCCAGGTGACTTTTATCTTATCCTCTATATTTTTATGTATATATCAATTTTTTTAAGGAAAATACTTTATGTAATCAGAAGAAATAATAAAACTGTTTTTATTATGTAAAAATTATTGACAAGTGGTAACTTGCCTGGACTCTAATGCTCCTGAGCCCTCTGCTGAATCTTGAATAAATTTGGGTTTCTCTTCTCTCTGTTCCTTACATACTCAAGAATTCTAAAGATGTTTTGTACTAATTTGGAATAGACAAGCCATGCCAAAGAGTAAAGTAAAACACTCTTCTAGCCCAGATCTCATACAGCCCTCCCCTTTTTTGAGATTGTTGTCAGAGGTGGGTCACATCTTCACACCCGTCAGAGGGAGGGACCCAGAGCACATGCCCACACAGAGATGTTGCTAACATATTGTGTCAGGTAATTCCTCCAGGGGTGACTCAGAAATAATTTGTTAAAATGCCGGTTGAGGAAAGGAGGAAGGGATTTGGAATTGACTGACCAATTCTTGCATTTCAGCAACAGAGTCAGAAAGTGGAAAATAAAAGCTCTTACTGATCGATGAACAAGTAACCAACACCAGAACACAGGAGAGGTCTCTATGCATTTCCTGGCCACATTTTTTAAATTAAAACAAAGGGAATTAAGGGCCAGCTGGTTAGCTCAGTTGGATAGAGTGTGGTGCTGATAATACCAAGGTCTGGGGTTCAATCCCTGTACTGGCCGGTAGCAAAAAAGAAAAAAGAAAAAGAAAAGGAGGCATATGAATGTACTTAGACATTACATTATCTTAGTTAAATAGACAACACAGAGCAGTTTTTCTTAATTGGGGAAATTATAGAAAATTCAGAGTGCCCAGTATAATCATAAGGACTGTTTTATGAACATGAAAGAAGGCATATATTTTATATATATTTAAATATATATATATATGTTTATTACCCTGGAAGAAGCACTCAATTTTAAACTTAAATATTAGGGAAAATGACTAATTTCAGGATAATATCTGAATTATAGAACTGTTCTTTTAAATAACTTTTTAAAAAGAAATGTTGCTCTTTTACTTTCAAATACAACTATAATCAAAGTAGAGTCCTAAGCTTTTTTTTAATCAATTACCCCCCTTCCCATGAGAGGCCTTGGTACTAATTGGTCATGCCTTAACTGGTGATTACCTGCACACCACACTTCCAGGCCCCCTCCCTACACAGCTCGGTGCAGCTCCTTATTTGACTTCGTCTCCCACTCTCCAGACCCCTGGCCCTTCTCCTATATCCTCAGCCTCTTTATGAATGCCCTCCCTCATATTTTTGCTCTGAGTGATGCCCAGTTTGCTCCTGCAGACATGGAGGACACCCCTCAAGTGTACCGATTCTAATTAGCACCTTCCTTTTGTACTTTGTTTAGACTCTTAGGCAGCATACTACTTTCCTGTGGCTGCTGTAACAACTTACTACACATAACAGGAATTTATTCTTTCACAGTTGTGGAGTCCAGAAGTCCAAAATCAAGATGTCATCAGGGCCATCCTCTGAAGTCTCGAGTGGCTCCCATCAGTCCTTGGCATTCCTTGGCTGTGGCTTTATCACTCCTATTTCTGCCTCGCTCTTCACATGGCCATCTTCTCCCTGCGTGTGTCCAAATCTCTCATTCCTTGTAAGGATACCAGGCATTGGATTTAGGGCCCACCCTAATGCACTATGAATGAATCTTAACTTGCTTACTTCTGCAAAGACCCTATTTCCAAGTAGGGTCACATTCACAGGTACCAAGGGCTAGGATGTCAATGTATCTTTTGAGGGGACACAATTCAACCCACAACAGGTAGTTCATGAAAGTGATGTGACAGCTGGGAATGGTGTTCATACCCAAAGAACACAGGATCTTTCGGCCACTATTAAATCCACAGAGAACCTGTCACAGCAAGAAGAGGGTCAGCAATAGGTCTCCTTTGTAGACCTCAGTGTCTAGGCAGGAGAAAGGACGGTCTCCCCAGGCGCACATGCAGCGTGGTGGGCCTTCATCAAACATGCCTAAGTGAGAAAACAATGCCAATTCAGAGAAAACCCACCCTCATAGTGGATAAACAATTCAAACAAACCTTCTGTTCATGGCAGCTCAGTAGGACTTTGAATACACATACAACTTTTATTGATGAGAAGCCACAAATTGGCAAGGTCATGAAAGCCTAAAATATTTCCTGCTATCTCACCATTAGCAACAAGTAGTGAAACTGCAGAGATATAAAAACAAAGAAAATAACACTTGTTGTGCTACAGAACCTGAATTTAGTTAAATGGGTAATGTATTACAACTATCAATTACCAAAGATTAAATGCCTATTATTGCAATATTGATACCGGAAAAGTAAAACGCACAGCACCATCCTGCAAAGAACTTATCCACCAGATGCGGATAGAAAAAAACCACAGCCACATATTAAAGACAAGGTATAGTTCATTGTTCAACTGTAGGGTCTAGATAGAATCAATAATATAGATATGCAAATATAAGAGAGTTTAATGATTACATGATTACTCAAATTGGGCTTTCTGGAGTTTGATAAGTATTTCTTTGGGTGTATGCAAGTCACCAGCTGGCTGGATCCTAAACCCTCCATCTTCACACCATGAGATTCTCAGCATCCTCGTTTTACAGATAAAGAAACCAAGGTTCACAGACATGAAGTGTAGTATGATTACATGATTACTCAAATTGGGCTTTCTGGAGTTTGATAAGTATTTCTTTGGGTGTATGCAAGTCACCAGCTGGCTGGATCCTAAACCCTCCATCTTCACACCATGAGATTCTCAGCATCCTCATTTTACAGATAAAGAAACCAAGGTTCACAGACATGAAGTGTAGTGGATTGAATTATGTCCCCCCAAAACTCACTTGAGCTTGAATTGTGTCCCCAAGTTTTATGTATTAGAAACTTAGTCCCCCCTGTGACTGTTAAAAGGGTGGGAAATCCTATCATGGTATTTGAAAGGTGGAGCCTTGAAGAGATGATTGGATTGTAAGACCATGCCATAGTCAATGGATTAAAAATGGTGGTCACGGGTGTGGTTCTGAGAGCTTTAAAAGAGGAGGAGATTCTGTCTCTCTCTTGCTCTCTCTCTCTGCTTCCACCATCTTGCAATGTGAGACCCAAGTCATTATCGCCACCACCAGATGGGCTTTGGACTTCCCAGCCTCAGAAACTGTAAGCAATAAATTTTGTTTTCTTCATAAATCACCCAGTCTCAGGTATTCTGTTATAGCAACACGAAAAGGACTAATACATGAAGTGACTCACCCAAAGTCAGAAAGCTTGTATCCTCCCAAGTCAGGAATAGACCTCAAGTTTTATCCCCAACTCCATGGCTTTTTCTACAATGCACTGGATGAGTAAGTTTGGATAGGTAAGGAAAAACAAGGCAAGTGTTTCATGTGTGGGAAATAGGATTAATATTTTATTATTACATTTAGCTCATCGGCTTCTGAGAGCTGGCCTGTATCCCCAGATGAAAAGCTACTGTCAGTCTCTTAAAATATCTGTCCTTAAAATATCTAGGTCAGTGAGAAGAGGATCACAAGGTCTCCTTGTGATTAAAAATATAAACTTTAAAGCAAAGGAGAGAATAAAAATGAAATAAATACATACATAAATCAGAAATTTTACAAGCTGAAGTCAAAAGAGAACTGTTCAATAGGAAGAACTAGATTATTGACCCTGACTTGGAAACTGCAGGGAGGGGTCCCTCATGGGTCACAGTGGTTCCTGAGAACTGTCCCATCTGAGCTGAGAAGGGTGGCCTGCACTCTACATCAGAAAGTGGACCTGAGACATGAACAGAAACGGAAGGCAGAAGACAGGCAGGTAGTAGAGCCACTTTCCTACATCAGCCTTCAGATAGACATTGCCCTTGACCCTTTTCTCAGAGAATAAACGGAGAAAGAAATTCAGTGAGCCTGTCCCAGCTTCTACCGCTGGCTTTTGCAATTTTCAGAACAAATGGAAAGGAAGGGGAATCTTTTAAACAATCACCATGTTACATGAAAGTGGCACTAACAGACATGTGAATGATGCTGTCTTTATTGAGAAAGATATTCTGAGCGCTGCTTTATGTTTTTTGAGACAAGTCAGCAAAAATACAAACACCCCACACAACTTTCCCAACAATTCACGGATACCAGGAATGAGGAATTCTGGCCCTTACAAATATGGCTCCCTCAAAGTGAGAGGTTCCTGCAAAGCATCCCACTAAGTCACATGTCAAAGGCAGCACAGGAGAACAAGAGGTTTCCCTTGGTTCTGAGGCAAGACAGGTTCTTTCCTGCACTGGTGAAAAAGTATCAGATACAGACCCTGAGTCCAAGGAATTTACTCCCTGGTTGCATCTCTAAGCCAGGGCCTGGGTCATATCAAGTGCTCACGTTTGTTGAACATTACTAAAGGTTGAGACTAGAACATACAATGCAATAACTATGCAAATATATAGATACCCGAGGGCTGAATTGTGTGCTACGGGAGTTCTGCGAGCAAGATCAATACGAGCTGGTTTCACTGAGGAAATGAGTCGTCAGCTGGGCCCTGAATGGATACAACTTACAGAGAAAGGAATGACAGGCTCTTGGTACCAAGAGGTCTGTTCCTTCTGACGCTGTGTGTGTACCACCAGCTTTCCTGCTATAATGAATTGCAATGGCCATCTGGAAAGGAAATTTCATGGTCATATTTTTCTCTCTCCCTTGATCCTAATCCTATAAGAAGCCGTAAGAAACCAGTGCCCCAAGGTTTTTCTCATCTGGCCCCTGTATTGTCCTTTTTTAGGGTTCCTAATATCCAAAGGAACCCTCAAAATCCCCCAGAGACCAAAACACTTTCATCCATTAAGTGGCATCTTACCACTCCAAACATCCAAAGGAGAAGAGAGATTCTTGCAAAGTTCTCCCTACCTTTAGTTCTCCCACCAGATCTTTCCAGAGGGGCAAGGGGATGAGAGAAGAGGTGACCACACTCTCTCCACCTCCCTAGGGGATGAGGATTGTTCCCTGCCCTCAGCACTCTCTTTCATTTCTGAGTTGGCTAATCCTGCTCCCTTAGGAGGCCAAGGTCAGGAAGGGGAAGGTGAGGATCAACCCACCTGCTGGGCAGAGAACTGGAAATGCTACAATAAAAGAGGAAATTCTCACATTCATAAGGATAATATCTGTGTATCAATGAAAAACACTTCCAGATACATCACTTCATTTGAATTTCACAATAGTTAGGCAGACTTTAATGTTGATATTACCTCCCCACCCCCCTTTTTTTTTTTTTTTTTTTGATTATTTAATAGTTTATGTTTTTATTATTTTTTATTTACTTTTTTTTTTTTTACATTCAAAGACGTTGTTGCAGAGCAGTGGGGGGATAGGTTAGGAGGGAGGTAGGTAACAAAGGGTGTGCAGGGCTGTCCTATAGCCAGCTCCTTCACTGGCCAGGTTGTGGAGGGTGGGGGGCATAGCTGAGGCCCACGGGCTCCCCCACTCTGGCTCAGGAGCCTGGGTGGTTTCCAGCAGTGGCTCGGTTGTCACTGGGCTGGATGTGAACATCAGGGGACATGACTGAGGCCCTCAGCCCCACCCCACTCCAGCTCGTGGGCCTGTGGGGTTCTGGCTCTTCCAAGATTTATAGGTGTTCTTTGGTGGTATTAGACCTTTACTGGTTAATATCAGAACTTTGTCTCTGATCTGTGGGTGTTTTGTATTTTCTTTCACTTCTGTGTTGGATTATTAGCTGCCCCCACCACTTAAACTCTGCACTGGAACCATTTGGTTGTCCTTTGCTTACTTCTAAAATGGGGGAACTTCCTGTGGGAACCAGCATTTGAGCTCTGTGGTTGAGCTAAAGTGCTGCTTTGCTGCTGATTCTTTGGGGAAGGCTTTCTGTGCAGCTTGGGTTTTAATTGTTGACCTTTTAAGTTTTTCCAGGTCTTGCAAGGTCCAAAACACCTGGGTTGTATGGAAACTCCGGTCTGGGCCTGAGTCTTTTCAGCAACCTGTAACCCCTACAGATCTATAGTTCTGACCAGTCTCCACTGAGCGGGCCTGTCCTGATTGGAGGGCAGATCAGCTGTCCTTGCTGTGCCCCAGTGTTCCCCCAATGGGCCTGTCTCCCCCACCCACCATACTCCAAACACTTCACATGGGACGAGCTGTGCTCCAGTTCCTTGTGATGACTCACCAGCCTCTGAGTGGCTCCTTCTTTCTGTTGTCTGTGGCCCCTCCCTCCTACGAGGGTCCACAAGAACCCTGTCACTGGTCTTGCTGGCCTAGGGTCCACCAAGACCCTCCTCTCCCCTGCAGCCTCCAAACAACTTCATACAAAGGGTACAGCAGCAGCTTTTGCCAGCTCCTGTTCCATGCGCTCACCAGTGCCAGCCTTGATGCAGCCAGGGCTGGAAACGGTTGGGGCAGTCCTTTCTTTCTCTCATAGCAGCTTCTCCCGCCTTCGTGCACTCCGTAGGTCTCTCCTCCTCTTCCCCTGAGCTCTAGCGGCCCCAGCTTGGCAGTCATTGCTTTTTTAATAGTTGTCAATTGATTGACTGTGGGAGAGAGTGATGCTGGGGATCGGCTATACCACCAGCTTGATACTCTTCCTTTTTTTTTTTTTCTTTCAGAATTGGCAGTCATTGCTTTTTTAATAGTTGTCAATTGATTGACTGTGGGAGAGAGTGATGCTGGAGATCGGCTATACCACCAGCTTGATACTCTTCCTTTTTTTTTTTTTTCTTTCAGAGACCAGCTTGATACTCTTCCTTTTTTTTTTTTTCTTTCAGAGGAGTAAACTGGGAAAAGAACTTGCAGCCAGACCCTCTGATCCCGAATTCTGTGCATTCTGCTCTCCAGCATGTCCTTTCAGGAGTCCTGATTTGGACAAGCAGGCA